CTGGAGGTACGGACTCACACCTGCTGTCCCCGCAGCCCTGCCTTAAAAGCCAGGAATGAGATGAAGCCCCAGGACAGTGGGGAGACCCTGGAGGGATGCTGCAGGCAGGCCATGCCGGGCAGCTTTGCAACGGCCTGTCTTCCTCTGGGTAAAACCTGAGCTGCAGCCATGAGCAAGAATGAAGGCAGGGCCAGGTCCAGTGACCAGGATGGGGCAGTCAGGGAGAAGCCCACCAAGTGGCAGCAGGATGGCAGTAGAAGTAGGAGGCGCTCCGGTTTGGGCTCCCGGGAGGTGGAAGAGGGGATGGCCAGGAGTCTGGACATGGGAGCAGAACTGCTGGCGTCTGCTGGAGCCAGAGTGAAGGTCGGAGGGGACCTGCTGTTTTCTGTCCTCAGGAGCACAATATAGTTGCCCAGTGCGGTGGCACACACCTGTAATCCCAGGACTCAGGAAGCTGAGGCAGGAGGATCACTGCAAATTTGAGGCCAGGTTAGGCTACAAAGAGAAACTCTGTTAAAAAGATCCCCCCTCCCCCGCAAACAAAACAAAGCACACACACACACACCCCACAGCAGAGGACCTGGGTGTGGTGCCACTCACACCTTTCATCTCTGTGCCCAGAGGCTCAGGTAGGAGAATTGCTGTGAGTTCCAGGCCAGCCTGAAATACAGAGCAAGACCCTGCTGCAAACAAATTAAAAAGAGAGCTGGGGATTTAGCTCAGTGGCATAAGTGCCTGCCTTACAAGCGTGCAGTTGTGAGTTCAATCCCTGGTACCAAAAAGAAAAAAAATTAAAAAGATAAAACCCCACAAACCACTCAGGACCCTCCCTGAAGGGCTTTGGATGGTGAGGCTGGCCAGTGGGGTTTGTTCCCACTTCTTCCATTTACCAAGCACATGATGTTACTGGACAAATCATTTCGTCTTTGTGATTTTGTCATCTGTGACGGTGTGGGTAAGGGAAGTATTGTTACCCGTCTCATACGTGTGAGGAGGAAACGGGAACCCACCCCAGAGTTCACGGGACGCCAGCTCTATGAAGTTGCCATGTTTTTGTCAGAAGGAATGCTGGCAGTTTCGTGTGGTTCAGTTTAAAGCGATGCCTCGTACATGGCAAACACCCAGACCTTAGCCAGAAGAAACCCAGCTTTTGAACAATACTTCCTGTATCATGAAGACCTTCATGAGACTAAACTCGAGCCCGCCTTATTCCTTTTCAGGGTTTTTTTTTTTTGCCTTTTGGTCAGAATGCTTTCGTATCTAGTCAGTTTGTTTTGCCACCACACTTGGATGATTTTCATGGATGAAGCTCTGATGTGAAGAGGATGAGTTCATTCCTTCCTGAGTGCCTCCAGCCCCTCCCTCCCTGCTTGGCTGCACTAATAGCGGGGACCCTGCTGTACCCACTTTTCTTCTCACTGCATGAAACTAGTTACTTTTTCTTTTTTTTTTTTCTTTTTTCTTTTTTTTTTTTTTTGTCTTTTTCCTTTTTATCAGTACCGGGGATCAAACTCACGACCGCCTGCTTGCAAGGCAGGCGCTTATGCCGCTGAGCTAAATCCCCAGCCCCTGCAGTGAGTTTCAATAAATGTGTATGTTCCATGTGACCACCACAGTCATGAGATGGAACCTTTCCAACACTGATTTCCTGTGTAAGAGAAAAACTGGGAAAAACTGTGCGTTGTCTCCATGTAGTATCTCTTCCTGGGTTTTCTGCTTCTAGTTTCTCATTGTCTTTGAGCAATTCTGTAGGTTATAGGTAACTGGTAGCAAAGCAAAATAATTCTTGTAAGGAAGTGTACATTTTGAACTGGGCATGGTGATGCGAACCTGTAATCCCAGTACTCTGGGAGCTGAGGCAGAAGGATTGCAATTTCAAGTCCAGTCTGAGTAATTTAGTGGCTTAGTCAGACTGAAAATAAAAATAGAAAAAGGGTAGGGAAGAGTCAAAGACATATTACAGGAACAGATGCATACTCAATTCTGTATCTTGGAAGTGAATTTTATGTCCACCAACAGATGAATGGATAAAAAATGTGATATTTACGCACACTGCAATACTACTCTGTCATAAAGAAGGATACACTTAGTCATTTGTAGGAAAATGGATGCACCTTAAGACTATAAAGTTTGAGCTGGGTGTGGTGGCTCATGCCTGTAATCCCAGCACTCGGGAGGCTGAGGCAGGAGGATCCTTTCGAGTTCCAGACCAGCCTGGGCTACAAAGTGAGCTCAAGGCCAGCCTGAACTGCATAGCGAGACTCCGTCTCAAAAAGACACACACACAAAAGACTATAGAGTTAAATGAAATAAATCAGGCACACAAGCTTAATGTTGTGTTGTTTCTCCTACATGAGAAACTCAAAACATAAAGAGTAAAATAAGACAGATAATAGGAAGTAGGAAGATAGATCTGTTTCAAATAGTAAGGGGACCAAGAGGTCGGAGGGGGAGAAGGGAGGAAAAAAGAATCCAGATGCGTTACGTTCATGCGCCAGTTTCACACAGGGGATATTAACATTATGTACTGTGAGCCTGCTAAAATATAAACTGGAAAAAAAAAAAAAAGGGCGCTGAGGGAGAGGCTGGGGATGTAACTGCGCAAGGGTGCTGGCTCCAGTCTCCAGCATGGAAAAATCCCAGACCAAAAAGTGAAGTCAAGTCCATGCCATCCCGTCCTGTAGGAGGCGCTCAACTGACTTCCCCTCCCAGGGCGGAAGGTTAGTTTTGCCTTCAGGTACCTTCATTTTAATACTGCTCATCCATAAATTCTTTTTTTGCTAGGATCACCTTTGAATTTGTTGTGACTCACCAGTTTCATGACTATATTAAATAGAATCTTTAGCAAGTGTTTATTTTTATATCCTTAAAGTCACAATTTCCTTTTTGGAAAATTATTTTTAGAAAATTCTTTTGTTTCATTAATCCCCACCACCTGATCTTGGCTCCTGCCGATACCTGACTCCACTGTCGCCATAAGTTAGTGTTGTCCTTTCTAGGAGAAACATTTATGTATTTTCCCCCCTCTGCATTGCTAAGATAGATTCATCCCTCTTGTGTCAGTGATACTCCTTTTCAATGATAAGTAATCCATCAGATAGTACAATTTACCCTTTTACTATCATGGTTTTGTGTTGTTTTCAGTTAGGAGGTGTTATAAAGAAGCTGTGAATATTCAAATGTAAGTCCTTCTGTAGACTTGTTTTTATTTCTCTTGGTTAAATAGAATGTATAAAATGGTTGTGAAAAACTGCTGAATTTAGCCAGGTGTGTGTGGTGGCCCATGCTTGCATTCCTGGCACTCAGGAGGCTGAGGCAGGGCGATCTTGAATTCAAGATCAGCCTAGACTACAGAGTGAGACCCTGTCTCACTCCTCCAAAAAAGAACTCAAAACACCCTCCTATCTGTCAAATTGTTTTCTCACGTGGCTATGTGCACCCGCACTCTGTGTGAACCTGTTGCTCCACATCTGTGTCCACACTTAATAATTATTTTTAATTTTAGCCATCATAGGAAGGGACCCTATTGTAGTTTTCATGAGCATTTCTTAAAGGACCAGTGATTATGAATGCTTTTTCATGTGCTCATTTGCCATCAGATACCTTTTTTGAAGATTCAAATCTTTTCCCTATTCTTATCAAATAAGGCTTTTTTTTTAATACCGAGGATCAAACTCATGACCTTGTGCTTGCCAGGCAGGTGCTTACATCACTGAGCTAAATCCCCAGCCCTGACTTGTTGAGTTTAAGAGTTCTTTCATATGTTCTGGATGTTAACATGTATTTATCAGATATACATATCGTCACATTTTATTCTAGTCTGGAGTTTGCATTAAAGTCATTTTTTTAAGACTTTTTTTTTATCGGTACCGGGGATTGAACTCACGACCACCTGCTTGCAAGGCAGGTGCTTATGCCGCTGAGCTAAATCCCCAGCCCTTAGACTTCACTTTGACGAAGTCTAATTTATGAATTTTTTTCTTTTTTTGGTACCGGGGATCAAACTCATGACTTAGCGCTTGCCAGGCAACAGCTTATGCCACTGAGCTAAATCCCCGACCCTGCCAATTTTTTCTTATGGGTCCTGTTCTTTGCCCTAATAATCACTCCCTAAAGTCAGATTTTGTTTTTTTCTAGAAGTTTTATGGTTTTCATTTTATGTTCAGATCCATGATTTAATTATTGCATATGAGGGCAGAAAGCCAATTACCCCCATATGGATATTTAGTTGCTCCAGCACTGTTAGTTGAAACAGCCATTTTTTGCTGTGCATCGCCTTGGAGCCTGTTGAAAATCAGCTGAGCACGTATGCACAGGTCTGCTATTTCAGTGATCCACACGACACCATCACCTTACTGCAACTTTACTCAGTCTCCAGGGAATGTCAGTCTCCTTTGAAAACTGTTTTGAATATTTCTATGTAAGTGTAACCAACTTGTCAATCAATGTCTGCAAAACAGCATGCTGGAGGTTACCTTTTCTAGTGCTTCAAACTTTTCACTGGCTTCCCCTGCAGCAAGAGAAACGCCTCACCCCATCCTGAGTCCAGGGCAGCAGCCCCTGCCACCTCCCTGCTGGCCTCGCCACTCCTGCCTCTCCTTTCTCAGTTCTCTCCTCTACATTCTTTTGGATTCTTTACTTTCTCAAACTTTCTTCTCACTCCTCAAAACCAGATACCTGGTTCAAAAGTTAAAAAAAAAAAAATCTGAGACAGGCTGCTAGGTTGTCCAGGCAGGGCTTACATTTCTGATCCTCCCGCCTCAGCTTCCTAAAGTGATGGGATCAAAAGTCTGTGTCCCTATACCTACTTTAGTCTAATCCTTCCCCACACTCTTTATAACCCTTAGCAGTTTGTAAAATGAGTTACATGTTCATGTACCTGTTGACTAAGGAGTAGCAATCACGTCTATTTGGCCACAGGCTTACTGGTGGTGAGGGGTACATGTGCTGGCACCGAGACAGCTCTTAATGTTTCCTGGTTGAATAACTAAAGGCAAATGTATCTTTGTGAATGCTTTATTAGGGAAAATCAATATATTTGCATGAGATGATTCTCAGATCATCTTAAGCGGTTCTCCTTTAGTTGTTTAATAACATATTCTCAAAACTGATACACTGATCCCCAATCCACAGCAGCTTCTCAGTCATCCAATTAAAAAAACCAAAAACCAAAAACCAAACCAAACAAAACATCATCTGGCAAGAAGGCAGGGTAATGCACAGTGACATTTTAACACATTATCAAAATTTAAAAAAAATTTTATTTACATTTCCCCTTTACTCTCTTTCCCAGATTACAGTAACATTACAGCAATGGAAGGGGCTAACATCACAGCACACCTTGCAAAGTCGTTTACAGGTTAACTCGGTCAGTGGAAAAACATGGACCAACAGAACAGGACAAGACCTCAGCTTTCCCAGAAGCTCTGCTCTCTGGCAGCTCTTTCCCCCTTCTCTTACTGTTAGCTGCCTTTATACAGAGAGGGATCATCAAGACTGTGAGGATGCAGGCTGGGTCTCCAGTGTTCTGTGAAGCCCCAGCAAGGAAGCTTTTTGTCATTCCAGCTACTGGCCACACAGTCCTGAGGTATGGGTGTGAAGGGTGAAGATGGGCCGTTATGTCATCCCACCCCAGCCAGTGGTATTCTCCCACCTTCTCGGAAGGCCTAGACCAGTGGTGGCAAGCCTGTTATCACTGAGAACTCTACAGGGCTCCCCATCACCAGCTGAGGCCAAGCAACCAAGCTCTGCACAAAAAGCCTGGGAACTGTGTTGGCAAAAGCAGACTTAGAGTTGGCTCAAGTCTCCTCGTGCATGGAGATTCACCTCTTCATACAGATGGCAATAAAACAGACAGAAAGCATACCAGCCTCCCAACCTCCCAGCACTGCTCTGGAAGAACAGAGCTTTGGGTTTTGCTTCATGCAGGACACAGTAACTGCAGCGTAAGAACCACTGTATTCCTTAGGGTCAGTTTATGACAACTCATCATACCAGAAAGAATGACAGCATAAGGCCATTTGTCATGTGTACTGTACAGTAAACAAGACCTTGTCCACGGCTCCCCCTAAGCCACTTGCAAGGGTGGACTATGAATGTGCAATACCCAGATGCATCAGAGTAGATGAAGCATTTCCATGAGGGGCGTAAGTGAGCCCCTTTCACTTCTTTCCCAGAAAACTAAAATCTACAGCTAACAGGTGCTTGGAGAACAAGTCACTGGAAATCACAAAAGGAACAACAGCGTTTTGTACACAAGTAAAGCCAGGGGTCACTGGCTAGTCTTGGTTTCTTCTCTGTGGTAAAGGAGGACACTAGCCCTCTACTTGGGCCACCTGGCTGGACCTGTGGCAACTGGCTTGGAGCCCGAGCATGCATTTCATGCAGGTGAAGCAGAGAAAAGGAAGAGGAATGCTTTCTCCAAGTGGAAGGTATTCTGATTCACCGCCTGAATGGATTAAAATGCCTGCTGGGCACCGGGGGCTTCCACGGTAAGCAGGAAATCATACACCTATAGATTCTAGGGCTTGAGAAAAATTTTATAGATTCTAGGCTAAGCAGCAAGAAAAAATCTTTGATTTTTCTGCTTCTCACCTCCAGCCGCTCTGGGCTTTTACCTGTGTAAAACACGACACGATTCTCATCTTCATGAGTGGAGGCAGTTAGAAAAGGAAAGCCACTGTTCGCCCTCTTTTTCTAACCAAGTGGGAGCAAATTCAGATTAAGCCAGTTGCGGCTAACCTAGAAAACATCCAGAGAGGAAAGGCACCCTGGGAATCAGGTGCAATCATTTTTTATAAACGTCTTTTTGAGACAGGGTTTCACTTTGCAGTTCAAGATGTCCTTGAACTCACTTTGTCATCCAGGATGTATTTGCTTTGTATTTGCACCAACCCTCCTGCCTCAGTCTCCCGAGTGCTGAGATTATAGGTGTGCACCACTATGTCCGACATAGTAATTCTTTACACAACAATTGCATTTAGTCTTTCCTAGGTGCTTCTGCCACACTGTCACAAATGCATACACAGAAAAATTTCCCAGATTCTCTTTCTCCACTGCCGTGGCGTGACCAGCAGTTCTACATTAACACCTCAACTCAGTAACAGTGGGGACCAGACATCTTCACAGATTTGGAAGAAAAAAACAGGAAGGTAGTGGCAGAGCCCAGCATTTTAATCCGTTCCCCAAGAAGTCAGGAAACGTTTCCAACTGAGCCACTGTCTGTGCCTCCTGGTTTTCACTAACAGGTGGGAAGCAAAGTGCATCACTGACTAGAAATTAGCTAAACTGTATCAGTTGTGAGAAGCTTAGATACAGGCTCCTCAATTAGGTAGGGAAGAAATACTGTTCCCTGTCTTCTCCTGAAATGTAAGGCTGAATGGACAGAGACCAGGACACCTAACTACTGATCCTTAAGGCCAGCATGACCATACATCAGTTTTCTCTGGAGCTGAACTTTGAAACTCAGTAACTAGAAGATAAAAGAAAGAAGGGCAACCAAAGAAGAGATGGATTCTAGAGAAAAATCATGGGGAAAAGTTCCTTGGCAACTGCAAGAGCCATGGGGCAAAACCAGAGCCCTCAGCATGGGTGTGGGATGCTCCTGTTCACTTCTGATTACGTAAGACGAGACCTCTTCTGACCATCTAAGGCCCTCCCCTCCCATGAGCATTTCAGACAGTGATTAAAGTGATTAAAGCGATAGCAGGCAGGACTCCTCAAACAAGCAGCACTGAGGGTTCTGGAGACTACAATCTTTTTATGAAGGGAATTTTAAAAAAAATCAGGGCCGGAAGTATAACTCAATGGCACAGTGTCTGGCAAACAAAAGGTCCTGAGTTCAATTCCCAGCACCAAACACAAACAAACTAAAGCAAAGAAAAAAAGTTTTAAAGTACCCCCAAATCTCTGTACTGCTAAATTAAAGTTTCAAAGACTGAAGGAGAAATGCAACAGCCATTTGATCCATTCTTTGTTATGGGGCTTCGATGTCTCCTAGCTATGCATTTATTGATGTGATCTGCAGGAAAAGGCCTTATTAATAAAAGCAATGCTGAATTTAAAAAGTGAGGAAAAAGTGATGAGAATTAGTCACACCTGTACTGATTCACTCCGATTATCAATTTTGGCAATAATGATTAACTGACACATGTTTAAATCCCATCAGATTCTAGAATCTAAATAGTGTTTTTATATCTCAGATTTCTACTCATTCTCAATGATTTATTCGTGTGGTTGTATTTCCCTCAGAACTTAATGATGCCTGTGATATGACTGGACTCAGATTTATATTACAGTTTCAAGAAGAGACAATCATACTGTGTATCTAATGTTTTCTCCTCTGTAGTGTTCAGAGGTCCTGGATGGTCACAGGAGTTTTGTCCCTTCAAAATAAACTTGTAACTTAATTGCACTGATCCTGAAATAACTTTGCACAATGAAATTATTTCTCCTCTCTCTCTCTAGATATATATCTATAGTTATCTATAGATATATATAGATCTGTATCTCCACACTAAGTGACATTTTAATTTGGAGTGACTTCATGCAAGTTAAAAAAAGTAGCAGGTAAGTTCACTGCTTAAAATCTGTGACTTTTGCAAGCCTGTATCTACACTGCTAAAGAGTAACTGTACTGCAAAAGCTACCTGGTACTCCAGTGGGATTCTACAGTGGGGGGTAGACACATGGGAGTGTCAGCAATGGATTTTACTGTACAGGACTAGTTACTTAATTACCACAACCTATTTACTTTAACATGTACATGCTAAATATGATCCCTGTATCTTTCCTTGGTTCTTTTACTCACCCTTTTATGCTCTTTAAAAAAGTGATATAAAACCTTGGAACATCTCAAGGACTTAAAACTCTCAGATGCTGAGAGTGACCAAAGACAACTTTTATCTGCAGGACATGGAAACAAAATTTCACAAACAATATTGCCTACATCCTCCACAACATGTATTTGCACAAATATTTCATAGCTGATGACAGGATGCCTAGGAGAATGTGGACTGGGAATCTTTTACTAATAAAAAGGTGCATTTTCAAAAACAGAAAAGTGAAAAAGTTTTTTTTTTACTTTTTTTTTTTTTTAAACTTTTTATCGGTACCAGGGATCGAACTCACGACCGCCTGCTTGCAAAGCAGGTGCTTATGCCACTGAGCTAAATCCCCAGCCCGAAAAAGTATTTTTATACATTGTTTTTTTCATTCTGTTCCCAATCCTTCCCTGTAATACTTGATGGCCAATTAAACACAAGCTAATCTTGGGTACAATAAGGCCAAAAGTTCTCTTTACTTAAGCTTTGGTCAAAAGAAAAAGTAACAACTTCAAAGTGGTGATTTTCAGTGTGTTCTTTGGTCAAGCAGTATAAAGCTCTCTGAAAAAAATCTCCTTACCTGGTTACAGTATTAAAACAGAGTCAAAATAGAATATATTCTACTTGAGGAAAAAGAAATGTAATCAGAATTTCTCAGGGAAAAAATCACATAATGGAAGCACAGGGAGACTTCAGCCCCTGTACCAGGTCAAGATTGTGTTAGGGTATCAGGAAAAGAAGGTTTGGTATTCAGAAAGGGGTCCGTGCACCAACTTCTCAAAGGACTAAATCAATTTAATCCTGAAATAGGAACATGATAAATCATTTCTGAGCAGAGGACTAACCAATACTTTCTTTCATCAGTCTGAATTTCAGTCTGCACCCAAATCCAGCCAGAAGCTTTTCTAATTTTTGAAAAGTAGAAACAAACATGATCAGACATTCTGCAAATCATCAGTTCTTTCCACACTGCCCCCGCCTCTCTCATCCCACCAGGAATGCCCATCACTTATAGAGCAGCTTTATACACAAAACAGGAAAAACGAATTGTTTTCACCATTGATGTCTGACCCTGGTGGGATGCAGGTGCTTCTGAAATGCTGAGTGTTTCAACTATGAGGTCAGAAGCACTAGGAATACAGCTTGGGAAGAACCTGAAATCTGGACGTGCCCTCAGATTGTGACCACAGGAAGACATATTTGATAGGAAAGGAAGAAATCATCTGGTGACCAGAACAAAAATATGGAGTAAGACCGAAGTCTGAGAGACCCCTGGCCAGGAGGAGTTACACATGACCCGCATAGTACTGTTAACTGTTTTTTCTTAAAAGGCCAAACTGAAGACTAGAGAGAACACGTTAGTTAATTACATGATTGGTTAACTAAGGGCTGCTGGGTGGGTGACCTCTGAGACCTGGCTGGAGGTGAGTGGAAGGCACGTGCTCCCCAGGAAGGAGGTCGGTGAGTCTCAAGGCTGGACAGCCAAGGGGCAGCAGGACCTCCTGACGGAGCCAAGCCCTCCGTGGCCAGAGATGGCAATGCCTATCTATGGGGTTAGCCAGGTAAGGTAGGGTCAGTGGGATTTCACAAGTAGGACAGGTATAAAATAAAATGCCTTTTACAGGCAAAGTGAGTCACTTCTTTTTTTAAAAGCTAAGATGTAGCAAATGAAGGATGTGAAGCAGTTTTTGACTATTTACAAAATGTCATTTAGAGTACACGTGGCCACCTTCAGTAGTTGAGGAAATGCCTTTGATGAGAGATGGTCACTGAAGTGTGGTTCTTGGAACTGGCTCAGAGAGGCCACACACTGTCCTGGAGGAGGGGGACTTCCTCCAAGGGAGCACCAGAAAGGCTCAGTCTTCTGTTTCTTCGTAAGTTGTCTCGTCGAAAGGCCTGTCCAACAGAGGCACCAATCGATGACGGGAGTACTTCAGGTGCAGTAAGTCTCCAACTTCATCTATTTCCTTTAGCGCCTAAGACAGACAGGACAAAGCAGAGGCTGGTCAGGACCAGCAGAATGCAGGCACACCGAGGCTAGATTGGCCTGAAAACAATGCTGACATTGCCCACGGTGGCACATGTGTTGAGTACATTTACTCAGGGCAGGCCATGTATGCCTGTGGACAGGGCTAGTTTTGAACAAGGAGGTCAGTTGCCTCATGAATAGCCAGGTAATCAGCATAAAGTGTAAAATTCATTAAAGTATGTTATGCTTGGGGGAAAGGAACAAGTTGCTTATGTGTGACCCGAGTCTCTGTGACACTGCATAAACCTGTTAGGCTTATAGCTATAATTCTGTTTGAGAATGCATACCTTATATTGCAGAGTTGATTATGAGTATAAAAACAATTTTACCTGTCCTTAAATTTGATTTTTATAAATCAATGTTTTAGGGACAGAGAAAAATTTTTAAAAAAAGCACTAACTGTATTACTTATACATGTCACCCTAAGAAAATATCACACAAGCCCTTTTGGGGACCAGTGCCATGTGTGGGTGACCAATGAACTGGAACAGACAGAACCCAGCCCCTTCTGGTGCATGGGCTGGCAAACAAGAAGTACCAACCACTGCCCTTCCTGCAAGTGACCAGTTTATCTAGAGAAACATAGGCTGTGATGATGGGGGTGAAATGCAACTGTGGCTATGGTGTTTTGGTGTTTCACTAACATTGCAGGTCCAGGCCAGTGGTGTGTCATGGGTTCAGAGGACAGTGGTTCACAGTGTAGCATCTAGTGGGCATCTCCTTCTGACATTGCAGACACTGTTGATTCCCTATGGTCTTGTTTTGGAAGTCCTATATTATTTCCATTGTTTTGTTGGGTTGGGTTTTATTTTCTTTTGTTTGATTATGTCATATCTGATGGCAGAAGCAGCTATTTCAAAGATAGCAAGAATTACTATGGTAGCAATTTCGGATTTACTACTGGCTTGTTTTGAAGTCCTTTACTGCATTCATTGGTTTGTTTTTATTGTTTCTATTCTATTCTGTTCTGTTTGATTTCTACTATGTCTGAAGTTATCTGCAGCTATTTTGAAGACATCAAGAGGCATTTTGGTGATTATTGTTAATTTTGTAATGCTTTGAAGTATCTCTTACATTGGTTTGTTTTGATTCGTTTTATTGTTTTATCCTTTTGTTAAAAAAATTTGCCATTCTTAAATGTGAAAATATAATAAGAAAAACAAAACAAAACAAAGCAAGCAAATAAGAGCTGGGATTTAATATCCTATAGGAACAGTGGTATCTTTGTAAAGAGGCTTAATTGAAAATTCCATAAGGAAACTATTTAAGACTGAATTTTAGCTGGGGAAATCTATTAACCATTTATTCCCTGATCTCTGATACAGGAGTTATTTAAGCAAAAGTCCATGCGACTTAAGATCACAAAGAAAAGAACATTTATTAATTCTGATTTCAGAAGAACCTACATTGTTCATCAATGTAAAAATGATGATCAGAAACAGAAAAACAAACCCACAGCAGCCAAAGGGAATCTAGTTTATAAGACTTCTTCTGACCCCATACCATGCATAGGTTTTGGTTTGTGTTTGAGATGGGAGGTGGGTCTCTTGTTATAGAATATAATGAAAAAGAAAAGTTGAAATCACTAAGTTAAAAAAATCAGTGAGTGAGACATGGTGGTATAAAACTAAAAAAAAAACTCTGAAACTTAAAAAATTAAAAAAGGCCTTGTATGGTGACACATGCCTGTAATTCCAGCACTCAGGAGGCTGAGGCAGGAGGACTGCTGTGAGTTCTAGGCCAGCCTTGGCTAAACAGTGAGATCTGGCTCAAAAACCAAAAACCAACCCTCCCGCAAAAAACCCTAAAAAAACCTGGGCATGATGGCACACATCTATAATCCCAGTATTTGGGAGGCTGACATAGGAGGATTACCATGAGTATGAGGCCAGCTGAACTAACAGCAAGACTCTGTCTCAAAAAAAAAAAAAAAAAAAAAAAATTGATGGAGAAATTTATCAGTAAGATTTTTTTTTTGAGCAGTCTTGCTATGTAGGCCAGGCTGGTTTTGAACTTGCAGTAATCCTCCTGCGTCAGCCTCCCGAGTGTTGGGATTACAGATGTGTACTACCATGCCCGTATCATTAAGATTTGAGAAAAAGGAAAATATTTAAAATATCTGAAAGGCAAATCAAAATAAATAGAGATAATCCTATTAATAGGCTGAATCCAATTTGATAATGTCAGAACTGTGATTAAGAGCACACGCACACAGCCAGGTGGAGTGGTGCACACTTGTCATCCCACATCTTGGGAAGCTGAGGCAAGAAGACTGTCAAGAGTTCAAGGTTACCCTGAATTAGAGAGAGACCCTGTCTCAAAACAAAAATAAAAACAAAACAAAAAAACTAAAAGAATACAATCACGTAACATTGTGCCTATAGTAATATTGTATTAGACTGTTTACTTAAAAATTGAGTGTTGAGCTGGTCTTGGTGGTACATTCCTATAATCCTAGCACTTGGGAGGCTGAGCAGGATTTCTGGGAGTTCAGTACCAGCCAGGGCTACAAAGTGAGCTCAAGGCCTACCTGAACTGCAAAGTGAGATCCTGTCTCAGACCAAAACAAAACAAAACAAAACAAAAAAAAAGGGAAAAAAAGTGTCGATCTCAAATTAAGTCTTCTTACTACAACTAAAAGAAAAGGTTACATTCTTTTTTTTTTTTTTTGCAGTACTGGGGATTGAACTCACAACCTCAGGCTTGCCAGGCAGGCACTTATGCCACTAAGCTAACTCCCCAGTCCCATTCTTATTTCAGAAATTTTACTACATAGAAACAGACGAAAATAACAGACGAAAATTTAAGTCTTCAGCTATTCACAAGTTATTAAGCTTACCTTTTAAAAACATTCATAATATTTAAGATTTGATCTCCAATGAATTAACACATATTCTTTAGAGACTATTCAAATGTTCTGTCCTAATGCTTTCTAAATTCTCAGAAAGCATCCTTTTTGCAGGGGGAGGGAAAACGCTGAGGATGGAACCCAGGGCCTGTATGTGTTATACCACTAGGCTGTACCTCCAACCCCAAAAGCAGTATTTATTTAAACTCCTGAAATTTAGATGTAAAATAACAACCTATTAAGAGAATATCAAGCTGAGCATCGTGGTGTGAGCCTGTGATTCCACCTCTTCAGGAGATTGAGGCAGGAGATCACAAGTTTGAGGCCAGCCTGGGCAATTCTGACTATCTCAAAATAAAAAATATAAGGTGTGTGTACAGGTTCATAGTACCAAGTGATGGAGAAAAAAGAGAGCGAGATTATAAGCAATTAGAGTTAGCAATAGTTATGATCTCCAGTTACATGCCTGGCACTGTAAGTGCTAGGAGTGTAGAACAAAACTTAGTCTCAAGATTTATCTAATGGAAGGCTGTGGGTCTAGCTCAGTGATAGAGCACTCACTCGCTGTAACTGAGGCCCTTTTTGAATCTCCCAACACTAGGGGGAAAAAGAAAGGATTTGTCTAATGGTGAAGACTACCATTAAGTATGAAGATTTATGAAGATGGGAATTTTAAAATTCTACAGGAGCACACAGCAAAAAGGGTTGGGAACAAGATTCCTTTAAATGGAGATGTGAAGAGTGAACAGCAGGCAGCTAGTCAAGGAGGAGAGCAGGCTGGAGAGAGAAAATTCTACAGATCTGTTAACACATCAGACACCTGTAATCCCAGCACTCAGGATGCTGAGGCAGAGGACAGCTAGGAGTTCCAGGTCAGCCTGAAATAAACACTGGAACCCCATCGTTAAAACCAAACAAAACCAAAAACAAACACAAACACATACCAGAAAGTGTAGAGTAGACAAAGATGCAATAGAAAGAGAATTGTATAGCTGTAGAGTCACAATGAGAGAGAGAATAGTATGAGATGAAGCTAGAAAACTCTTGAGCTCCCATGACACTGCTCTGGTGGAGGATGCTACTGATTTTACAGTTTTGGTACATGGCAGTTTTATGTAGCATGGTACAGAATGCTTCTTACTGGGTACTCAGAGAACATTCAGGATCAGCAGATGCTTGATTTCATCTGCTATACAGACCCTTTAGTATAAGGCACGTTTATACCAAGGTGGAAGTGTCTGCTTACCGTGTCAAGTATTTCTTTGGTATGAGCTGCTGACAAGCAAAACCTGGCTCTAGACTCAATAATCGGGGTAGCAGGAAATCCTACCACAACTACACCAATGTTCCGCCTCAGCATCTCTCGCCCAAAGGCCCTGCAAAGTGCAAGAAGAGGAAAAGAAGTGAAGATGAATACCAAAGCACAGAGTGCAAAGGTCTTGCTGTCCTGAAGGGAAGCAATAGATGGTAATGATGTACTGGAGACCCCTAAGTCTTCTATACCCTCCCAGTTCACAAAACTACTTCGGTATAATTAATCGAATACAATTATTGTTTCTTTGCCTTTCAAATGTCATCCAGTTTCACTACACATCTGAACTTCTCAAATACACTGAAAGCTCTCCCAGGGTGAAGCTTTCCATTATATACGCACAAACCAGAGAAGCTGGTGTAATTAGCACACCCAGGTATCCAATAACATGCCCTGACCTCCAACCTTTTGTTCCCCTCAGGCACGGTCCTTCAGTTCCTGTGAGCGCCTGGTTATTCTCCCACTGATACACATGTCCTGCCTGTGGCCTTTGCACAGATGCTACTTTCTCTAAGTAACTGATGCTAACCGTGTTCATATCTTGGCTCAGCCATCCCCTCCCACTGAGGCTTTCCCTGAAAAACTGCTATCTGCCTACACTAGGGCGCTCTCAGTCCCCACGTGTAGTGGGCTCTATTCTCTCCTGTAGCACCTAACACTCCAGTGCACCACACAACTGACTCTTGCCCCACTAGAATATAGGCTCCAGGCCAGCCAGCAATGTCCGTGTTTAGCTTAGCTAACACATTTTGCAATTTGGTGTCCACTTTGTCAACTACAGTATTTCTAGTGAGTGAAGGTTAACACAGTAAAGATAAGACAATTTCCCCTAACAAAACACATCAGCTCCAGCCTTATATCACAGATGCCTTTAGTCTAATGAGAGGCCAGTACAAACTGCAAGAAAACGCACCCAATTTTGGCTGGCATGTAGACCATCAAAGGCACCACCGGCGAATCTTCATTTCCATAAATAATGAAGCCCATTTCCTTCAGGCGTCTCCTGAAATACCTCGTATTTTCAGCTAACTGCTGCACACATTCTTTGCCTGGAAAATCAGAGAGTGAGAAAACAAATTAATATTGAGAAAAGAAGAAGTGACAACAATGACAAAAAGCCAAACTAAAACAAAAAACACAGTTAATCTCTGTTTGCATTTTACTTAATCAAGTCTATGTTTTGTTCCTTCCATTCCAACACAAGTATTTTTGCACAGTTAACTGTGGAATATAAATGTAAATAAAGATGCCTCACTTTACTTTCTGCCATCTAGCTGTCATGATTTTATGGCATTCATCTTCATTTTATGGGCTGGGAGATCCTCACAAAGTTGGTGACTTGCCAGGCTGAGACCAGAATCCAGCTCTCCCAAGTTCTATACTCCTTACAACTAACCACACTGCAAATAAATAATGTTATACATAAGGCCAAAAGTAAAGTCATTAGACCTCAAAATTTTCCTCAAGAGTTTCATTTTGTATTACCACTTACTTAAAACTCTTACACATACAGCAATAGTCTACCTGTAATAAGTAAAATCATACTGTTTTGCTTTGCAGTGCTGAGGCTTGAACCGATGGCTTCAGGCATGCTAGGCAAGAGCTCTAGCATTAAGCTAAATCCCTGGCCCTAAAATCCTAGTTCTAGCCCTCTTATTGCTCATCTTTCCCAAAACACAAATAGACTAAAATATAAGTTTCTCTGACTGACAAATATTTGGCTACATGTTAAACATTATGGTAAGTTAATCTATGAACCAATATCCTAACAATAGTTGTTATCCACAGCCAAGCCAATAAATCCAAAACATCAGTGTGCCAAGGGCTAAAGACTTTCACAATCTTCTCAACCACAAATATGTATGAATAAGAAGAGACTGCAGTAATTTTCCCACACATATTAGAAAGTCAGACATTTGCCTAAGGCCAAGCATGATACAGATCATATGACAAATTAACCCATCAGATATATGGATAACAAATATCCTCAGAATTAGAACTCTAACATATTCATCATTCATGAGATGCCAAATTAGATTAAAAACTGGCTAAAAACAACTCAAAATTAATACTCTATAATTTCAAGTTGATCAAAGATAAACTGCCTTAGCTTAGCTTAATTATCATGAACACCAAGGAACATCACTTATGCTGTATGTTTTACAAAGAATAAGAGCAGACATTAAAGTGTGTTACAAATATGTTGAGAACTGATGAGACAAGTACCCCAACTTCCCCCAAGAAATATTAATACATGCTTACTCTAAGAAAAAGGGAACTGCCACTTCCAGCTACGATGGAGTACCAGAGGCTGCACTCACTTTATTTTTGTAAACAACAGGAAACTGGACAAAAGGTGTAACACAATGATTTTCAAAGGAATCACATGCAATGACAGACAGTGCTGTCTGAAAGGGCAAACCAAGGTGCCCTGCTGCAGCGGGAAGGGGGCCAGGTCCTGTCAGTGGAGGACAGCTAGGACTCAAGCTGGGAGCTGACAGAGGAGATCAGAGTTGGGGAGGCTGAGTGGCTGGACTTGGCTGGGGAGTGGATGGGGGAGGAGTGACATGCAAAGAGTGCACTTTGGAGACCTGCAGAGTCCCTTGACCTAAAGGGACAGTACTGACTGTCACTCTCAGGAGAAGAAACTATTAGAGGCCAGGGAGAGGTCTACCAGGAAACAGACCAAACACTTTCTGGCACTTGTGCAGAGTTGAGGGTAGTTTGTGTTTTCACCCAACAAAATGGTCAGACCTTACAACACACCTCAAGCAGCCCTCAGAAGAGCTCCACCTTAGTATTGGAAATGAATAACCCTAGACATAAATTTGGCCTTGACCAACTAACTCTAACAAACCTTAAACAAAAGTCTCAACAAGATCCAAATGACTCCAAGAACAAAGTCTAACATTGCCTAGTCCAGCATCCAATACATAATTTAAAAAATTGGAGGCATTCAGAAATACGGGAAAATATGACCTGAAAATCAGGCAAATAACCAATAAAAACAGACTAGAAATGACAGAGTATTACCCGACTTAGCTGCTAAAAAAGCCCTTTTTGGTGGGTGGGATACAAGTACTACACACTGAACCCAGAGCCCTCACATTTTACCTTAGTCTTTTTATCCTTTATTTTGAGATGGGGGTCTTACTAAGTCACTAAATTGCCTAAACTGGGCTCAAACTTACCAATCTTCCTGCCTCAGCCTCCCAGGGTGCAGGAACACAGGAGTGCACCACCATGCTCAGCTTAAAAGGCTATTATAACTACGTTCTGTATGTGCAAAAAGGTATAGAGAGGGCTGGGGACATAGCTAAGTGGCACAGTGCCTACCTCGCAAGTGTGAGGTTCTGAGTGCAATTCCTGGTACCAAAAAAATAAAAAATAAAAAAAATCCCAGACAGTTACATCTTCCTTGGCTCCACCCTTGGGGCTAGGGCTATATAGCTCAGTAGCATAGCACCTGCCTGACAGTGTGAGGTTCTGAGTTCCATTTCCAGTACCACACACACACAAACACAGATAGAGGTATAGGGAATATGATGAGAAAAAAGTATCTAAAAAGTAATAATCAATACACAAACCAGCTAATGAATCTCACAAGCATGGGCTACATAGTAAAATAAACCAGACACAAGACTATGTATTGTATAAACCCATTTGTATAAACCCATACTAAAGACGACATAATTGTAAGAAAATAAAATACATGGAGATTAGTGGTTGCTAGGGAGCGGGAAGGAGCCTGAGAGCAAAAGGGCATGGGAAGACTTCTGGGGTGATGGAAATATTCCACACTATGATCACAGCATGGTTGTCAGAGTGCATATATTTGTAAAACTCATGGTATTACGTATTTAAAATTGAGTGACACACTTGTTTTATCAATATACAGTTTTTCCCACAAGTACTACCTTTTCATTATCATAAACCTAGTATACTAGCCCTTTTATTACAAACTGATTAGTTTCAGGAGAGAAAAAAATATTTTTTAATGCTAAGAAAATAAAGGAAAATTATCAAGGGAAGAATTATTAAAGAGCTTTAGACCGGTAGCTGTCTTACTAGCTGCTCCATTGCTCTAAGCAAATTTTTAACAAGAGTGGGAAATCTCAGTCCCATTATGCATGGTTATCTGTTCCTCAACAGAAGAATCCCAGAAGAAAATGTATAAAATAACTGCAACAAACAAACAAGCAAACAAACAAACATTCACATATACAGCCTCAAAATATGGAGGGTAAGTGTTTAAAACCTCCAACACATACATACATATCTATGTATCTGTGTACGTCCTGTTATTGAGCAGTATTCTATGGTAAAGATAAAGTACAATTTTCTTTATTCATTTACATGGTGATGGTCACCAGGTTCATATTAAGTAATATGAATGAAGTTAAAGTCCACATTAAAAAGAACTCTCCAATATGCATTTAAACATTTCAATTACACTTTAATAAAGAAAAAAATCACTACATTATTCACTACAGCTGTCTTATTTGATCTTAACTGCTTTAAGCATGTGAAGGAAAGAATGTACTATTTATACTTTACAAATAAAGAAATGCATCTGAAGATGTCAGTTTACTTTCTCTAGTCCCTTTTATACAGCTGAGGTAGACCAACAACTTCTTCTGACTCCAATCTAGTATTTTCCCCCATCCTGCACTAAGAGATTACCTATTTCTCTTTCTCTTTTTCCTTTCGTTTCCTCTCCTTTCTCCTTTCCCTTCCTTTTGTCTTTTTGAGACAGGGTTTCACTGTGCAGTTCAAAACTGAACTCGCTATGTAGCCTAGGCTGGCCTCAAACTTGCAGCAATCCTCCTGCCTCAGCCTCCTGAGTGCTGGGATTACAGGTGTGCACCACCACACACGGCTTAGACTATGTATTTTTCAAATTTGAAATTTTAGCCCTTTGTTGAATAATAACAACCTTATTTTAGTCTGTAACCAGCATTTATAGGCTGATGCAAACGGTGAGTGAGTAAAGGGACCTAAGAAGATGTAGAGTAAGTATAGGATAAGTGGAAAGTAGTTTTCAGTTAGCTTACTCCCCCCGCTTACTTAACTCACAGGTGGATGAGTACAGGAATAAAGACTGACCACAAGGTAAGATCAGTGCTAGAGTAAGAAGTCAACTAATTTTTGATGGGAACAATTAAAATGTCATTCAGAGTGAATCACAGAAATGCAGTGGTTTGTTTATTCAAAAATTATTAGGCCAAACCATCAAACTGTCAGTATTTTACCACTCTGTACAAGCTCTGACCTAACTGATATTATAAACAATTGTACAAAAGGTCTTTTAAGACAGTAGCTCTAGTTTTAGGTTTCAGTAGACATGTTCTTAACATAGGTGGAGTAAACACAGAGGGCATCTAAGTTTATTTCTGTCACTGTGGAGGATGTTACTTTGTCATTCCTAGGACAGGCATTTTTAAAAATGCTTTTGAAGAGAAAAACCACAGGTGTTAATGTGTTCTTTTTTCCTCTACAGTGAAAATCAACCGAAGTAAAAGTATTAGAAAAGGCAAACTTCCAGATAGTAAAAGTGAGATCTTTGGAAGGGATCATTAAGTCCTTAGACTTATGTTCCGTACTTCTTGGTTATTATGAAAACTTCGCGTTATAGTTTCATTCTAAATGTTTCCCGAAAGTCTCATGTGTCAGGAAGGTGATTAGGGCGCGGGGCACTGTAGCTGACTTGTTAGGAGGTGGGGCCTGGCTAGTGTGGGCATTGGGCTCCTCCCTTCCCTTTCCGCTTCTTGGCTTCTTGGCTGCTGAGTGGTGCACAGCTGTCTTCCTACGGCGGTGGAGGCAGCCAGCTTCACCTAAACCTGCTGGAAACTGGGAGGCGAGTAAACCTCTCCTCCTCTCAATTGTGGGTGTTGAGTGTTTTGTCCTAGTGGCAGGAAAGTGACTAACACGTTACCTGAAGCCATTCTTTTTGGGGGACTCCAAACTAAGAAATCCTAACACCTACCCTTGCCTGCTTTAAGATTATGATGTGTAAGAAGAAAAGGGGGTTGGGAAGTTCTTCAATTTC